GTATACACAGCACTAAATTGTAGAATTGCGCTGAGAAGCACAATGGTACAACTAAACAAGACACGTGGTCACGCTAGAATCACTCTGAGCACTCCTAACCAACAAAGCACTTCGCGAACGCAGCACGCTGTCGACCGTACACCTTGAGTTACGTAGACCAACTGTTCCTGGTTTGGTTTGTCTGCGTTCCACCTTTGTGGTGCTGATCTTTTTTACCTTCTTATGGTTCTTTCATTCCTTGATTGTACTTTAACCCGCACGAGAATGTGCTCTGTTTCAGCATCCGCCCCCTTTTTTCACTCTTTACAGCTTTGATGTTTCTAATGTGACTGTTGTTGGCTGCATCTTATTGGGTGCCTGCACCGGCACCTACTCAGTACGTTACAAGTTCCAAGATTCGTAGGACTGTTTCGTTGCTGTTGTCGTTTAATTCTTTGCTCCGTCCCGTTCCGAGGCTCGTGGTTCTTCTTCGTAACAATAGGTTTTTTACAAGGTATGGTTGTTGGCTCTACGCTCAACCCTCCTCCTTTGTCCCGGCTTAGGTGTTACTGAGATAGTCAGTTCACCTAGTCTCTACCGCAGGCAGAGTCATATCTCATATTTAATTTTTAGTGTTTCTTGTTAAAGGGACTCTAAGTTTAAACTGAACTGGACGTCCAACACTTTTTAAGCATTTGGATGAGTGAAAAAATGGAAAATCCTTATCCCAAGTTTTTTTTTTAAGAAAAGCTGATTTGTTTAGTTTTACCATGTCCTCCATTTTATAGTTTGACTTTGTGCGTCCGTTTTTGGATCTTCCACATCTTTTTTTAAATATTTTAAAATGGATACAAAATCTTGCTCTAGTCGACTTTCTTTTAACTTCTTTTGTTAAGGCTGAAGTTTAATAACTTGTTTGTAGCTCTTTAGTTGGTAAACTGTATAACTTATTGGTATGTTCATCTGTGCTCGTACAGCTAAACGATTTTCTTTCTTTTATTGTCCCTCTGTTCTCATATTCTGGACCAGAAGTATTTCATATTATCCTTTATTACAATTTTTTCCATCCTTTAATATCGATTGTTCTTTTCGGGTTCGTTTAAGGGCAAGCGCAATATAAAATTAACCTTACGTCACCTTTCTTTCTGATCTCTAAACTCTACTCCCCGTACCCGCCACTACTAGTGGTAGCTTCCTTAGGTGATAGAAAATTATCACTCCTAGGAGTCTCGCCCTCACTTGTGTAGTGTAACTCTAACGTGTTACGAAATACACACAAAAGGGCATACTCCTATTATTAATTTAGGCTGAGATTATTATCGAGAGTACGAATATTATAAGCATTGAACGTATTGGTTAATAGTTAATTAATATTTGCTGACATGTTGACCCCATTAAGTACCATTAATGCAAGCAAGCATAATGGTGCACCGCGGATCCAAAAAGGATCAGAGTAAGTATAAACGTAGATGAGACAACTACAAGTGTGTTCCTTTACACTTGGAATGAAATCAGATTTCTCGCCTGTAGCATATGAATTTGTTTCTGAGTATAAATAAGTACTGACTCAAAATGCCAACATTTTTTATACCTTCAAATTTTTTTTGATTACCTGATCCAGAAGATCCTGATCCTTATATTAAAAGTAACAAGGTTAACAACTTGGTTTGCTGTACTTCTGTACTCTGCTTCTTCTTTACATATGTATTTTTCCTTTCTGCTCTTCCAATTTTGTTTCTAACATATCAATGCCATCTTGCCTCATCACCCGCTTTAGCTGACGAGTTGAGAAAGTCGTTAGGCATTCAATCCCTGAATGCGGCACAGCTTCCTCCATGAAATCGGTGTGAGAAAAGCAATCTCTTTCACTTGCAGTGCACTATGAAAGCGGACACCTTTCAGCTGCCTTTCTCCTGGATTGCCGTTAATAAAGTGACCTTACAGGGCGATCAATTCGGACGGTTGACACGTAGCCCTTCGGACGTCAACACAGGAGTCAATATTGGCGAATACGTAAATAAAGGGGAACAGGAAAATATTTATGGAAGGTAGCTCGGAGTCTTTGTTTTCGAAGGATATTGATGCGGTCACATTTGCGCGATTTGTGGACTTCTAAGAGATTTCCTTTGCGTTTGCTGGCAAATAAGTGAAATGGACAAATTATTGATGTTCTTTCGGTTTCCCGGCCCGGTTAATTCGAATCATTCCTGCCCCAAAAACTGATACCGATCCCACGCTCTTCCTTTAAAAACTGCTCTAAATAACATTAGCACTAAATGGGAACGTGGCCCACATTTTGAACGGCAGTGCGTTTCCCTCCCGGTTTTTTGGCGCATTCAATTCCCCAGTGGGAATACCGGCTCCATTATCAACCTCAGCGGGCCAATTCCCTAAAATTATTTATGGCTTCATCCTCATTTTTACACCGTTTTTATGGATTTATCATTTTCTGTCCGATACTTTTTCCATTTGTAGTAAATCACATGGAAAAGTGTCAAGGGGACTCTCACTCGACCTGCCTGATGGAAAGACGTTCCGTAAACATACCTTACATTTGCCGGATATTTTCATGATAATTAATACATGAGAAACTTGACTGTTGAAGTGGAACTTCCACAGAATTGTCCGAGAGTTTCAGATTTCAGGAATGAAGAAAATGGTGTTTGGAGTAAATATCAAAGCGGGGCTATCGGATGTGTATTGTAAAACCAAAGAGATTTAGTGTGGTTCAGTTATTGTATTTGCATGCATTTGGAACAATTTTGAATTTATCTTCGTCCTGGATGTTCCATGATAAATCAGTTGTTTTGATGGATTTTGTGGGTTTCCAGGATGTTTTATTCCCGGTTTAATCTTGGTGCTTCCATGTGTTGTTTGGTGATCACCAGTTGAATTTGTTGGCAAATTTGCTTCAATTTCGTGGCTTGAGAGGAAAAGTTCATATTTCGCATGAACGTTCCACTGCCTCCTTTTGCAGCTGTGGAAAAGGATGAAAAAATGTCAGTTTTTAAATTGAAAATTCAACATGCAATCGATATTTCCACGTCGTTATCATTTCACATCATTAACTTCAAAGCACACATAGATCCTTCCAGCGGCAAAAAATCGCTTTGTCAATATGCAAAGCCAACTTAAAAATATTCCCAACGCATAATTCGAAACTGGTGGAGCTGGATGGAATAATTGTTCGCATTTCGAGCATTTGCCTTTATGATTTGCCATAAGTAGTGTAGGAAGCTGCCATAAAGGAAACCATTTATTTTCCTTTAAAACCGGCACATTTTCACGGCCATTATCAACGATTTATTAATAATCAGTTCCTGCTGGCAACCTATCATCTTGTGCTCAAAAACGGCCGGTATGACAACAAACACCGGTGTAAAAGTCCCTAAAGCAACACCCGCTTCGCCTCGCATCTTCCCCAAGATCCTATTTCTTTGATAACCTTATTTTATTTTCCGATATAATGTTTATTTTCCGAGGTTATTGTCTCCCGAACTTATTATTTTAAGCGTAAAACGGTTCAGGAAAACTGTTTTTCCGTTTAACTTAATTTTCCTTTTCTTTTTCCATAGATATTCGTTGTAAAAGAGGGTGTTAGTCGTTAGTTTTATGGCTTTTAGGTTATGGAGAGTGTGATAAAACCGATTGTTATTGCATCAATAAAAGTTTGAACCAAAAAAACTCTATTTTAGGAAAATAGGCCTCGAATCTGTGTGGCGATTAGGTTCGACTATAAATTGGACCTTAATATGAAAACATGTGGTCCCGTTAATCCAAATGAAAAATTCCTCTCGACTAAAAGTGTAGCTGTAGTTTAGAAAAGTTGTATAAATTTACAATGTTTGATTATAATGTTGTGGTTAATTAGTGGCCGTGATGATAATCAGTAAAAGACGCCTATTTAGGTTTGTGGGTTTTTCGGTCAATAGATAGTGGCCAAAATAAAACACTATTTTTTCATGGGCCGACGTTTCGACTATATTTAAGTCATCCTCAGGGCTCTAGGAAGTGCC